AACCAATTTGACAATAAATTTCATATATAAAAAAAACAAAAAAACAAAAAAACAAAAAAAATAAAAAAAAATAAAGGGTACATGAGTGGAAAAAAAAATAAATAAAGTGTAAATTCCTTGGGAGTAATGACTGTGTGTGTGTATGTAATGTATTCTTTTATTCTGGTTCTTACTAAACTTTGCATTAATTTAATGAATAAAATGCCAGAGGTCTGTCATCCTTCTCCTTTTTCTTTTGGTGAACATCATTGCTAAAGAACAATAAGAAGTGTGTGCCTGTAATGTGAGGGTTCTAATAGTCATCAAGGATGACAATGTTTACTTGTCTTCAAGACCGCCAATCCATAGAATCTACAAGAACGTCCCACACAGTGGAGCTCAGGAAATAATTGTTGCATTGAGTTGACTTGAATTTAGGACCCTATTCTAGTTTGTAAGCCAAAAGTTGCTCTTAGGGACATGCGCAGTAAAACATGCTGTGCTTTGAAAAGAGAAAACAATCCCTTTCCTCAAACCCTTAGACAGTCATCTGAGGTTGAAAGACTGTTCATTTAATGATGATTCCAGTATACAGGTGTGTAACACTAAAGAGAATGATTGCATGTGTCTCCAGAAATACATGCTTTATTACGAGATGAGAAGTGTCTATTTTTCCTTCCTCTGGGACTGTTTTTGTTTTTTGCCCCGGTGCTCATTTCCATTCTGTTCAATAGTAAGTCAGCAGCCAGAATTCATCGTTGAAATACTATTCATGTAAGTTCCTCCAGAGGTGTAATCATCAACACAAAGCTTTGGGACCACTCTGGTCTCCTTTTCTAAATTAAACATATCTGTCAACAACAAATGCAAAAAGTATAAAATATTTCTGTGTACTTCCCACATCGAAATGATCTCCTAAGGGACTTAGAAAATGTGTGTTCGTGTGCATTGCCATCTACAACAGCTACTCGCTGGCCGCTCCGGGGTCTTGCACACAAAGGGGAGAGAGGGGCGTGGGGAGGCCGCGAGGCGTCAATGCCCCGCCTGACCAGGTGATGCCCGCTCGAGTAGCCTGCCGAGGAGTGTGGACAAGGGGAAGGCTAAACTTGGGGCTCAGGATATTTGCATGCGGCGGAAATCGCAGTCCTCCCCAGCGGAGTCAGGGTGAGAGGAGCGGGGTGCGTGCGCGAGCTGAGTGAGCGCTTACGTCGCAGCCAGATCTGTGCTGGGATAATTAGAGAGGAGTTGGGCTGAGCCGAGTCCTCTTTTAGCAGCGGCAGCCGGGGCCGCAGCAGCAGCAGCAGCAGCAGCAGCGGCAGTGGCAGCAGCAGCGGCAGCAAGAGCCCGGAGGGGCGCGCCTGACTCCCGCCGCCCGGGGCCCCCGTGGAGAGGCCGGCGCCCCGCAG